TCCATGAGCCTGAAAATAGACACTAAGCCCTCTCTTAAAATACTCCCCTCCATTATCTGATCATATAACCTATACTCTCGTGTTAAACCATTTGGTGAAAGGATTGGAAGTTGGAAAAAACATCACTTTTTTCTTTCAACAAATAGATCCATGAAACACGAGTGCAATCATCAATAAAGGAAACAAACCATTTAGAACCTGAATGATTAGGAACACGGGATGGCCCTACACATCACTGTGAACAATTGAGAAAGGCACAAAATTTTTATTAAAACTTGAAGGAAAAGAAGTGCGATGGTGTTTGGCTAACACACGACTATCACAATGAAAATTAGAAACATCAATTCTGGAGAATAAAGATGGAAACAACTTATGCAAATAGCTAAATGAGGGGTGTCCTAATCTTTTGTGCCATAGCCAAATCTGCTCTCTGAATTTGACCTACCAACTATTTGATTTGGTTTTCCATTTGAAGCCCAGATCATATCCAAGTAGTACAAACCACCTCTTTCTATACCAAGACCAATCTTCGCTCCCGTAAGAAGGTCCTGAAAGACACAATTAGTATCAAAGAATGCTACGGAACATTTAAGAGTCTTAGTAAGCTGACTAATGGACAATAGGTTATCAGATAAACATTGAACATGTAAGACACCAGAAAGAGACATCGAAGAAGTAATTGGAATTAGGGATGGCAACAGGGGCAAGTTTGGGCGGGTGTACCCTCCCCCTCCCCTGCAACCGTTTAAAAACCCTACCCCCGTCCCCGCCCAAAACCGCCAAAACGGGGAGACTTTCCACCCCATCCCCACAACCGTTTAACATTTTTACCCCCGCGAGTACCCGTCCCGCCCCGTTTAAGACCATAATTTATTCATTGTTGAAATAGATTTGTTTTTTTTTTTTTTTTTTCCCTCATCTTCATTTCTTCACCATTGCAACTTTCTGTCTAATCAAATTCATTTGTTACTTTAATATTGTTATATAGGGTACTTAATATGTATTGGGAAATATATATACTAATGAAATAAGGGTACTTAAGTAATTTTTCTATCTAAACAGGACAGGGCGGTGCGGGGCGACCTCCTCCCGCGCCCGCACCAAACTCGCGCAGGTTTTTATTACATCAAACCATCCCCGCCCAAATAAGCTAAACGGTCCCCCAAAACCACCAAAAACGGGGCGAGGCGGGTAACCACGGGGACGAGTCAAATTGCCATCCCTAATTGGAATGGAACCTTCCCTAGACACGATAGAAATAGATCCATTTGTTGTTTTAACACTCTTTGTACTAGGATGAGTGTTATAAGAAGAAAAAAATCTAGATATCATGTGTCATATGATCAGTAGTACCTGAATCAATAATCCAAGATGACTCAACACGACCAGAAGTGTTCAAGGCTAATCCAAAGTTACCTGTATTGGCTGAGTTACATGAAGCCTCTTTTGAGGATAGCTTCTGAGCATACTCTTGCATCATTTTATCTACCTGAGCTTGAGAATATTGTGGCTGGGCTGCAACAAAAGATTGTGCATCAGACTGCACATCAAAGGTTGCATGATGTCGTCTAGAATTTGAGTTATCCCCCTTGTATCCACCTTTCTTACGGAACCAGTCGAGATAACCTTTCAGCTTAAAACAAGTCTCTCGAGTATGTCTAGCCTTATTACAGTGTGTACAGAACAAAGACTCTTTGTTCTCAGGTTTCCTCGAGCGAGACATAACCAGTGCAGTTGGAGTCTGCATAGTAGCCAAGGCTAAACTCTCCTGTAAGACACCTGTAAGCGTGGTGGCCTGACGGAGCTCCTCACGTCAAACATAGGCATATGCACCGTGAAGATTGGGAAGAGGATCATGCCCTAAAACCTGTACTCTGATCTGATCAAACCCTGGGACGAGGCCGGCTAGGAAATCGTAGACCCTTTCATTCTCAATTCTCTTCTTTAGCTTTGTTCTATCCCCCAACACACTCCATATCACATGGCTGGAGAAAATCCAACTCCTGCCAAATGGCCTGCAAAGCAGAAAATATCTAGCCAATGTCTTCCCCTGCTGTCGAGTCTTATTTGTCCTGCGCCTCAGTTCATAAATCTGAGAAGCATCACTACTATCAAAATAGGTTTGAGCCACGGCTTCCCAAATAGCATGAGCTGTGGGAAGTCGAAGAAAACTGGCGCTAATATCTGGAGTCATTGAGTTAAGAAGCAATGACATCAACATGGCATTCTCCTCCAACCAAGTAGAGAAGGAGGGTGTGGAAAGGTGGTGTCTCTGGTACCAAAAAGAAATACAATATAGAAGAAACATAGGAGAAATATGTAAAGGCTTGAATGAGATCAATCATTCATTAATATGGTGGAGTTCTTGCTGCATGGGTCTACTTTATGGCTTTGATCGAAGCCATGTGGAAGCCACAATTATGCTCTCTGTCATGCTATTGATCACTTGGAAGGGGATTTCCCTAAGAAGCTTACGGCACCACCGAAAGCTTCTACTAATCTGTTTGGAGGATTAAACAGAAAGGTAAGCTGATTAAAGAGAGTGATGTTCAGGAAATTGATGGTGAAGTACCGATTGGAAAGCGCAATGGCAATGATGATCGCGGGGATGATGATGGCTCTATTTCTGAGAAGGCTTCAGTCGAGATTCATGATGAAGATTCCAAATCTCAGGAGAGAGCAGGCTCCAATCAAAAGGGAAAAGGTTAGTTAAGTGGTAAGAACTTATCCAAGGTAAATGTAAGTGATAGGGGCAAGAATGTTGATGCTGCAGTTACTTCTATTGATGTTGTTGCATCTACATATTGTGCTGAAGGTATTACTTTGAGAAATCCTTTTGATGCTATTGAGAATGAAAATGATATGACGGGTACTCGAGACTCATTCTCCAGAGGTCTCATCTACTGTGGTGAGCAATCAAAATTCTTCAAAGAAGAATAAGAAAACAAAACAGTTGTTGTGGAGCTCTAGTATTTTTATAGATAAAAAAGCACATGTTAATATTACAAGAAAGGAAATAAAATCAAACCACAGCAGATTCTATGGCTAGACATAGGCATAAATAATGTCAAACTCAATGATTTGTGGCTATCATATCTCTGCTAATATGGTAAGTCATTCTATAATTGTGACTATCATATGACGGATAACAGGGACTATAATAACAAAGTATTTCAAGCATTGTTCCTTTCAGATGAAGTATGTGCCTCCCAGAAGCTTGCCACCATATAAGTTTAAATAACAGCATAGCTTAAACATTCAGCATATCATTCCTTTAATTATAGAGAGAACCTTCTCTGTCGGATTCTTAACTTGACCAGGTTGGGTTCTCAATAGAGGGTGAGAGAAATTTCTGTAGTTATTTCTTGGCAAGAAGACATATCTACTCTAAAGCCTAAAACTAGAAATTTGGGCCCAAGGGTGGAACATAAGAAGGACCAAGCGGACCATCACCCACCCCCCTCTTCCCCTTCTTCCAAAATAAATAAATAAATAGAAGTTCCATTAAGTGGGCCCCTCTTTAAGTAATAAGTCTCCCAAAATAAGATTTGGCCCCCAAGCTTACATGATAAATTTTTGACAAGCCACTCCAAACCCACAACATTGGCCGACCAAAACCCACATAACATTTGGCCCATCAAATACCCATTTTATATAAACCCTCCATCAAAATACCCAAGTCATACTTAATTGGATATATGGGATAAATGATGGGGTTAAATTTGTTGTTCAATCTGTACATGTCTATGTAAAAATTGACTAGATATATTTTTTAATGCACTTAATGGATTAAAATGTTTTTGATTTATAAGCAATCTTATTTTAGATTCTTTCACACTAAAAAATTTATGTTAGAATTTCTATTGCGAAGAAGAAATAAACTATCATTTTTAATGTTTTCAAAATATATATTCATACTATTAGTTTTGCCAGTGTTGTCAAAGGCACAAGGCACACTAAGCCGCTAGAGGTCCTTTGGAGCCTAGACACAAGGCGAGGCGCGAGATTGAGTGAAGCGAGGCGCACAATTAAAAAAATTAAATTACTATAAAAGTATTCATATTCCATATTAAAGTTGCTAGTGTTGTCAAAGGCGCGCCTCGGCACACAACAGGCACAAGTGTTGCGCCTATATCAGCTTGGAGCCTAGGGGCATGCCTAGGCTCACCTTTGACAACGTCACTTTTGCCCCCCAACTCCCACCCAGACAGAACTTCCTGTGTTCGCTCGTCTTGGCCCATGCCACTCAAGGAGAGTCTAGGTTTCAAGAAAAATGAGGGTCCATGGTGGTTAGTCGAGTCTTAGTTTATGTTCATTTTTGAATTAGTATGATGCTGGTATAGTTTTATAAGTGTTTCAAGGTTTTAGGAGTTAAAGGTGTTCTGGTATTTTTCTCGATTTGACATACATGGGCTGTATGGGTCAAGTTAAATTGAAGAGAGCCAGCCAACAATTACAGATGGAAGTGTCTTGGGGGCTGCAGCCTTTGTCTTATGTGGTGCCTACAGGGGTAGAAGAACCAGCGTCATTAATGAAGGGGAAGAACCCACCTATAGGTGAAAGAGCAAGATTTTGGTGTGTTGTATATCTGGGTCTAAGGCAGTAGATATATGATGCAATGCTGATTTATATACATCTTTTCTAAAGGGATCGTGCCCCCTAAGTCACTTTCTATTGAAATACTTCACAGAAAGAAAAAAAAAATGAAGATGTGTCCCACTGTCCAGGTTTAATCCACTATTTTAATGTAGAAAAAAGTTATTGGATGAAGAAAAAGAAATAGGAAACTTTCTAAAAAAAACACAAACAAGTAAAAAGACTCGTGGAGGTTCAATAACAAGCTTTTACTAGCGGAAACCATACAGCTACAGAGTTTGCTAGAATGGTAATCTAAAAAACATATTTATGGTAGGCAGGAAGCAATATTAGTATTCTCATTCTCTACTAAATTTTTCATGCATCTTGAAAAAGGATAAATGTATATATAGAAAGAGGAATACCTGCATGACCATTTGCAAAAGATGCATACAAGTAATTGCACTTGAAAGCCATCCACTGTTAGCACATATATCTATCATTGCCTGGATGATACGTATACTTTGATCTAACACTGATTTTAAGTCTGTAATATAGTCACTGATGGGCAATTCCAACTGAGAAAAATGTGCCTGAATCCCAAACGTCACTATTGTAAGTGAAAACAAAACTATGAAGAAATGGGGAAAGACTTGCAAAGTAAAATAAAAGAAAAGAAACGAAAAAAAATAAGAACAACATAGAAAGTACACAATTATGTTAAAAAATTATGGTCCAAAATGACACTGACCTGAAAAAGCAGATTTGTTTTAACATGTGGATCATCTAGGCGATTCTTATCCACCATATATGGAACTTTCTCAGACAATCCTTCATTGTAATTTTCCTAGAACAAACAGAGGACATTTAAAAAATAATCTGAAAATGCATCTCATATGTATTCGATTATATTACATGGATTCGAGCATTTTTCTGACGTCCAAACCTCACATATAGTATATAGTTCATAATTTTATGGTGCATATATGTCAGAATTTAAACATGCGATAGTCAGATTTAACTAAGCCTTGCAAAAGATGATCAACATCGATTACTGACTCAAGTTTTTATAAAGATTTCTTTGCTGCAGCAACAAGAACTTTTTTTATGTTTTGCCAAACATAGGATACCTTATCTAAGCATGAAATATTTCAATATATCCCGGATTAAATTTAAGGAGGCCCAGATTGCTAGCTGGAAAACCAGAAAGCAACTGGGAGAAACTTATTAAAATTAATTTCAAAAGAAAAAACAAAAAAAAAAAACAATAATTCTATTGTTTTTGTATAGCTTCATGGGGTCCAATAAAAAACATCAAGCAAATGATTATCAATGCAAAAGACCAATAAGATAAAATTAGTAACAGGATTTGTGATGATGGTGATGCTCACTCAACACAAAATCACGAACCCAATCACACACACCCGCCCACATCCCAATTTTGCCTAATAGCTACAGAGAAAATTAATAAGTAGCCCAACTAAAAAAGTTTATGCAAGTGTTTAATATTGTTAGAGAGTTTGGGTCACTAGGCCTTATCGTATCAAGGGCATTTTTGTCTTCTTGTTGTTTATATATAATTTTAGAGTGGAGTAGAAATCCCAAGCCAATGAGTCCTGGTTATCCAATTCACCCAATAAGCCTCTTGTTCAAGCCACCATGCCACAACAAACCCTTTCCTATTTGGGATCATGATGTTTTGCTGGCAGTATCACACACCATGAATGCCTGAGCTACAAACTGTCGCGCGCCAGCCCCATAGCTCCCGATCCACGACTTGGATTGCGAGAGTACTACCAAGTGGAATCATAGTGTGTTGTGGTACACGATGCTCCATCAAGGAGTACTAAAATATTCCTCCATGCAATTCCCTGACATAAGACGTGCCTCCCAGGCAAGGCTACCGAATCTCTATGAACAGTTGATGTTACTATCCTACAGGGGTTGAAAGTAAGCAGTGTGCCTCCCCTCAAACGTATCACCCTATGTGGCCAAAGTTTTGCTTTATATAGGTCGAACGTAACTCCTGGCCTGCCGGAGATGGATAATAGGCGTGCCCTTTCTCGAATACGACCTTTTTTTTTTTGTTTTTGATACTAAGATTTTATTAAAAACACTCAAAAGGGGAGCGAAGCCCAAAGAATCAAAAGGAAACAAAAGGGCCAAAGGGTGCCTTAGACCTTCAGAGAGGCCAAGAAAACAATAATTTCCTCCATAAATCTATAATCTCTCCCTGAAACCCAACAAAAAAGAGTAGAAATAACAGAGAACTTAAGCATAGAAACAGGCTTCTTTTTTCCATCAAAATATCTCCTATTTCTCTCAAGCCAAATACGACCTTTCTCGAATACGACCTTTACCGATATCTCCCTTAATTCTTCTTGGGAAGCTAAAGTCAACAATACCTAGTCACGCGAGACTCCTCTACACTGGTTAACTTGAAGGTGTAAGTGCATTTTTTTTTGTTGATCAGTTCTGAAATTTATGCTTTTTATTTTTATTTATTTTAACAACTTATCAAATATATGAAGTGAATATAAGCTTCACTGATAAAAATGAGGCTCAATGATGTTTACCAGCATGATTTACACAAAATGTAAAGATTGATGAGACAAACTACGAACTGAAAGTACTCGATGAACTGATTTAATAATAAGTTGGGATTATGGTGTCTGCCTATAGGTAAGGGGAAACTGGAGAGCACATCCAATTGTTCTGTATCAATGTGATCACAGGAGAAAAAATTAACTACTTGCATACATGAACCAATTAAGTATACATGGTGATCCTAAAGGCATAAACGACCAAAAAAACTGATTTCATTTGAGTATACATTTTCATATGAAAACCTACGTAATCTTTGGTATTTGTAAGCAAAAAAGCAGTAATATCTTGAAAGCGGATATTACTTTCTCAAACAAATTATATTATGGATCTAATAAGATGAAACCAGAGATGCAGGAAGTTGAGCCAAATGAACTTCTAGTAAACTAATTATTTTAGTTTGATATAGATAATTATGCACTCTTTGATGTCCTAGAAGATACAAGTGCTTGGATAGCCGAAGTTGATTTATCTAACTGTGATGTGGGATGATTTTACAATTGAGATCGTGGATATAGTTTATATATTGAATGATCCCGGCTGGTTACTTTCTGTTCATACAATGTGTTGAAGGATATAAATATTAAAGTTGCACCCTCTCCAACAGCTTAAGCTTTTAGAGTAGATGGTAGTTAACATGGCATCGAAGCCAAAGGTGACGAGTTCAAACCTTGACAGTCACCCAAATATATATATATATATATATATATATATATATATATATTCTTAGTTGGTACTCACACACAAATGCCTCCGCTAAGGCTTGACCCCGTAATCTCCCCTTGAGAAATAGGGGCCTGGTACCGCTAGGCCACAGGCCTGTTGGTGACCGTCACCCAAAAAAGAAGGCAACACGCGAGGGGGCGTGTTGAAGGATATAAATATTAAAGTTGCATCCTCTCCAACAGCTTAAGCTTTTTGAGTAGATGGTAATTAACATAATGCATACAGCTCCGGTTGCTTGTTGGGCTAGTTTGATGGCTTTGTATGAATTAGTAGTTCTTGATGCATCTGATACACAATTTCCAGCTTTCTCATTGCTGGTGTGGTATTTTGAATAACTCATGTAGCATTAAGCCCATTAACACATTTCCAATAAAAGAAAACTGCATTAATGTAACACAGAGCTTGATTCAATAAATTGAACACCACCAGGTAACCATGCTTCCATTACTTGGAGCATGAGTAACAACTGCAGTCAAATGTGAAAAATGAAAGCCTAGGGAAGAGAAAAGATTCCATAGCAATACAAGCAAAAGCCAATCTACAGTTCAAATCTGACCTAAAAAAATAGACCTTTTTTTTTTTAAGTTATATCATATCACTACACTTTTTTCCATCCCAATTATATGTATGGTGCGGAAAATATCTTGTTTTACAAGTTTTACTAAAGCTGCCACAATTCTGCCCTTGCAGTCATCAACATATAAAAATCAAATAAAAATACAAGCCGATCATAATTACAAAACTACCTCATTATGCCGCACAGGAAGCTCATTATACTCAGAAGCACCAGATAGTATATGAAGGAAAACCTAGGACCAGAAAAAAAAAAATGAATATGACTTGTGACATAGTTAAAGGGAAAAAAGAAGTTGAATTATCACTTTTTGGGAGTTTTACTTACTTCAAGTGATGTATCTGGTCCTATATTTGAACCAAACATTGATACAGTCATGTAGCTAAGGTAATACTGAGATGCTATTGAACCCAACATCATAGGCTCAACAATGTCTTCATTCATTCTGATGCATCCACTGTCCTCCAAATCCTCAAATGTGTTTTGTACTAGGCTGCCAAAGGGTCACATTGATGACACTGTCATTGAGGGGAACGGAGAATCCTAACAAAACCCATTGCATAAGATGATGAAGTTATATTATTACCTCGACAAGTAAGAACTTAGAATTCCAGGTTCGGTATCCTCTAAGCCATAGTAAGCTCGATTAACCATCTGTGACATGAATATATCTGTAAGGAACTTTTGCAAAGAAACAACACGTCCATTCCTGACAGCATATTAATATCACCCATGTTGTGGCTATGCCTTATTTGCAAGTTCAACATTGAAAAGGTGAAAGGCACACACACACAAAACAAATGAACATTTCACTGTCTAAGATTCTGCAGTGTCAACTACAAAATCTTTCAGTTCTATAGCGACAACATACTTGTGACATACATATTTAGTTACAATATGGCTTTAATTTTAAACAATTTAATTTTAGGGGGAACATGCTATGCGGGCTTGATATGCATCACCATCACACAGAAGCCATAAAATTGGTGGTTGAAGGTTGAGTTTTGCTAACTTACTTGCTCGACAATGGTTTTATTTTCTTTCCTTTTCCTTTTTTCTTTTTTGATTGTTCAATTTTTTATGAGTTATCTGGACTTGAAATGCCATGTTTAGAAACCATTAAAAATTAGTGATCTTTGCAATCTTTTGGACTAGCAGTGTATAACAGCATAATTAAGTCACTGTGTAGGCAATGCTAAACATTAGGTCTTATATGCATAACTTGTTTCTAGATTTGGGTACTGCCATTTTCTCTATCCCAACAATTCAGTTAAACAGCAGAGGCCGCCATCACAACAAAATTTACTCAGAGACGGTCGTGATAAAACCATGAGTTTAAACTTCGGTATCATATCTGTTAATTTATATAAGTCCCAGGATAAAAGATATACATCCTATTACTCCAATTGGTCGGAGCCATAGAAAATTGAAAGAGAGGGAAGACAGGAGGTATGCAGAAGGTTAGCCTTAGTAAAGGAAACAGTCTTTCCCTTCATCTGCTCACTTGAGCCAAAAGAAAAAGATGAATCATGAATGAACAAAATGGGTGTTATCTTTACCATTATATCCATATTCCTAATCAACAATAATCAAGGCATTGTTTCAGGGTCAAAAACATAAAAGAAAAGGCGTCCTCTTCCTTTCTATCGACTTTTTGGTGAAAAAAAGGAAGCGGCAAAAAACAGATAGCCCAAATAAAACTCCCCCTCTTTTACTTTCCCTCCTTCCATCTGCTTAGCAACAAAAATTCTCAGCACCCCATCTTTTCTTTCCCGCTTTCCTTCTTCCTACTCTTCCCTGCTGCTAGAAAAAGAAATAAAAGGTGAATGATATTCCACTAACACAAGAGTTAATAAATAAAATCACTTTGGGACGTATGGCCTCCTACTCGATAACCCAACATGGACAGTTTCTCAAATTATCATCACTGAATTTCAGATTTTTGGGACGTATGACCTCAAGACCACGACAACATACACTTTACTGTGTAATCTTTACACTTAAGACTTTCTAGAAAAAATTTAATCCGTATCCTGACAAAGATCTCATTTTGATGTCCAGAATGATTACTGTTATGATACTAGAAAGCATAATTTTTCCCAAAAAGTTGTTTGCATACTCCAAATACATGCAAAATGGATTCAAAGACACAAGGACATTTACCAAAAACTTTGAAAGATCCCTTATTTCTTTATCGAGTGGATGTTGACAAAGGATACATGTTAACAACATAAAGATGATTAAGTAATTGGTAAAATCTTATTCTAGTCTCAATAGTAGATGACAGACTTGAATGTTAAGGTTGCTGAGAAAAAGCACTGCTGCATTGCAGGATTGATCCCTTTTGAGACTAGCAGGTTACTAAATATCTAGTGAATGCCAGTGTAATTCTTGACTTCATAAAGCAGTATTATCTGAAATAATTCTTTAATTGAGGTGACCAAAATATACCAATCTACGAAACAAATAAGTCCAGGTGAGATAATGGACTGCATCTTCTTTATGGCATATCGTTCCAGAAACTATCTCAGCATTCATGTGATCATGCAACTGCTCCCTCAGACTACTCTCAACTGGAAATGGTTCATACAGGAACTGCAAATAGAACACCAGTCACTCCACCAATTGTGTAAAAAAGTCACTCTAACACCAGATATATAAATTTATGTAAATAGTTTCTTTATTTGACCTTTTTATAGAAGCTCTTTTTGGGTTCATGAACAAGAATGACAGCTTTCCCATGTTGATCATATTGAGGCCGACCTGCACGACCCATCATTTGCAAGATATCTGTGATAGGGAAATCAACATATCGTTTCGCTTTTCCATCATAATATTCTGTTCCCTGCATCAGAACTGGATGTTGAGTATAAAAAAAGTATATATATATAAAAAGGGAAAATAAATCCTAATACTAAGCACATGCTAAGGTCTGTGACAGTCAATTATGCACGTTAACGAGTCATTGAGAGTACATTACCACTTTTAGCCCTATTTTGTAGGGATCAGCATTTTAAAAAAACAAAAAAAATAAAAAAATCCTTGCATACACAGATAGTATAGAATGAATACAGGATTCGAAAGATCTTACAATGGAAGACAGAGCATCAGCCACACAGCTACTTGCATGCACATGTACAGATATTTTACAAGATCCACATAAAGTACATTCAAATTTTTTTAACGAAAATGCTTGATTTAGATCGTAACTAGGACTAACTAATGTCAATGCCATATGGGAAAAGAGTACTTTTTGAAAAAAGAAAGTTGAGGGTTATTTGAGAAGATGAGCATGTATTCGAGCCAATAACAGAAGCTGGCTATTTCAGGCAGGTTAAACAGCACCTTATGTATTAAAAGAAACTTGACATGTAAATATGGCTGTAAACATTGATTTTCTCCAAACATTTTTTTCTAAAGGCACATCCCAGTTCTTATTGCATGGTTTCTGGGCACATCCCAGTTCAATCTCTTTTTAGTTTAGGCGGCAAACAATTTTTTTCTATTTGTGACAATGTCAGTGACACAGGGTAGGGATTTATTGGGTAATGAATATTTGACAGGGTTTTGGAGCTGTGCAAGAAATTTTCCAAAATAAAGCAGAGACAAAGTTGGTCAAGAAATACTTGTTGTGGGGCAAAAAAAACAATTGTAGGAAGTTGAAACATTCATGAACTATTTGGGAGTTTATTGTTAGGAAGTTGAAACATTCATGCATCTGAAGGGAGCCTTTGTTGTTATTACATATTCTCTAGGAAAGTTGCCAACTACCTCCGCACACATTTTAACTTCGACCCTCTCTAAGAGTATGCAAGCTGAAGTTCTCAATGGGTTTGTAATGCACATACTATTTCCCGCAGTATAAGAAAAATGAAATAATGCTACTGTGAAGTATTAAAGGAGCTTTACTAATCTGATAGTAATATAAACATAAAAAATCAATAAAGCGTTGATGGCATTTTTTTTTTTTTTCCAAAAGAAACCGCCTTGCCAGATGTTCTTGTCAATTAGATATGAAACTTTTCAAGATAAATAGACACACCATAGATAGCTTTATCTCACCTTGATAATGACCAAATGAGCGGGAAGGTTTACACCCCATGCTAATGTACTTGTGCACACCAACACCTAAAAAGGGTGAAATGCAATCAATCAAATTAAGGTATAGTTGTATAGATAGTCTCTTTCTGAAATAATTATCTTCTTTCAACGTTCAAAAGGAAAAATATATATATGATTGATAACTACCTGAATCTTATTATTAGCAAAAAGTTCCTCAACCAGAGATCTGTCTTTATCATTCAATCCTGCATGGTGTAACCCAATGCCAAATTGTAATGTGTGCCTCAGATTCTGATCAGTGACCTGAGAAAGAATCATCTGTAGCGCATCTTCTGGCATACTCAGAAATTGTCTTGGGTGTTCGTCTGAAGCTGCAAACTTCAAATTACAAAAAATCCCACAACAAATAGATCATTAACAGGTGATAATTTATACTTCAAGCATGATAACAGATGTAATAATTTATACTTCAAGCATGATATTGCATCCCACCTGAATGAGGTCCAAAGCAGTGAGCCTTGTCTGCCGACGAGATGAAACAAAAATTAGAACTGGTTTTGTAGGTGAATGGGTACATATGGCAGCATATGTGGGTTTATTCATGCTATTCATCCTCGGACAGTAAAACTTCCCAGGATATCCCTGTTCATAAAAGAAAAAGTGTCAATTATTACATCAGTATATTACAAAAAGAAAAATATAAGAACCTCATTCACTTTCATGATTAACAAAAAAAGGACTAAAGGAACACCAAAAAAAATAATAAAATAATAAAGAAACTGAATATAACCAATCTGGTGCGCTTTAGACCAACTTTTTTGTTTGCATGGTAACCTGAGCATATCAAAAGAAGACCATTCAAACTTTTGGTGCCACAAAAATATATTGTAGTGAAGATATTTACTTTCTAGCAAGCTTGTGACAATCTCGTATTAGTACCAAAACTTGAACATTGTATCCTCTACATATCAGTTTTATTTTCATAATTTCTGGTCTCATATACAAGATTTACTCAACAAACCATTTCCCCCACTATTTGGGGTAGGTGACATAAATCATGTTTCTTCATTATGCTCAATCTAGTGCCACAATCTCACTCAAACCATATTCCATCATATACCATCTCAACACATGAGTTTTGGTCTTCCCATTCCACTAACATTACTCTCAATGTGGATCATATTAGTCTTTCTTAGTGGTGTACTTATTGGTCTAATATACAAGATTTTTTTCTTTTAATTCTGTTGGGCACATGTTTACTACTATTTATGCGAACATTATGTCATAAACTACCCTTTCATAAATAATTTTCCTTAATGCTTTGTTGAATAGAGGGACAACTAGTGGCATCAGATTCAAAAAAAAAAATAATAGTAGAAAACTCAAAAAGAGTCCAAAGAAAAGGCAGAATTAAATAAATAAAGACCATTACCTAGTACTGGTCTCAAACTACCACATACAGGGGATGGTGGGAGGGAAAGATAGGAGGCAAACCTAATCTTTAGAATTAATTGAATAAAGTGACGACTCTCAACACTTGAATTACATCTTTACGCTTATTAGACAAAGCTTTTAGCATCCCATCAAGCAATGGCACTTAGCAATAAAATAAATTTTCTCCAGTAATATTTATGAACCTTTATAACAGTGCTCACGTTATCTGTTTTGTTTTTTTCTTTAAAAAAAAAAAAAAAAAAAATTAATAATAAAGAAGAAAAAGTGTATGTTACAAATTAATTTTTCACAGAGAAGGGCCATAACAATTGGAGTGTGCACTTATGTACAAGTATCACAAACACGTGTAAACATATTTAAAACCTGGAAAGATACTTGAGGCAACTTCTGAAATATGGCTTTTTTCCACTTACCAATTCGTGAATCATAACATACTGACAATTAATCCTTGCAGTATTCATATCAATTTCCCAGTATTTCATGAAGACATTCAATTTTTATACATATATATATAGATGTTTTAACCACAAGAAACATATAAATATCAACAAATTATTCATTCAAAAACATGTTACGTAATTGCATAACTGAAAGTAAAATATATAAACATATATATATGGCGTATACTTATGCATACATGTACATCAGATATTATTCGAAATAATAAAGTGCACAATAAACATATGAGTAAAATTCCAATCCCTTGCCTGAATATGAACTTCAAGAGGCACAGGCCTCACACTTGGCTTGAAATTGAAGAGTCCAGTTTCTCCGACTCCCAGCCAGTCAGCCAAATCACTAAATGAACAAATGAGTGTAAGATTCTTCTTTTTCTTTTTCTTTTTTGACAAGGACAAATGAGTAATAGAATTATTGTATAAAAGGCTTTGCCTAATAGGGGAGAAAAAAAAAAAAAAAAAGGAACGACCAGATATCATTATAAGTTCCAATAGCTTCAGTTTTGAACAAATACATGCTTCAGTGGACACAAGACTAGATGAAATAGAATCGTAGACATAATTTATGCAGATATCTCTAATTGAAAACATTTACCATGACAGTGGATCTACAAAATATAAATAGCAACAAATGAAAGTACCATTAAAATGTGCAACATGTGTAAACTTCAATACAATAGGCCATTAGAATGAGGTCCAACAGAAAAAGAGAGAAGACTGAAGAGGCAGCGAAAGCAAAAGAAAGGTACACAGAACATACTGTGCATTTGCTAAAGCTGTTGAAAGGCCCACAAACCGAACTGTGCGTTCTGTTTGAGATGATATGTATCTCATCCTTGACACTATAACCTGAAACATAGAATTCTGCAGATGAGATTTCAAGGTAATCAATGCTATTAAAAAATTCTGAAAGCAAATGAATTAAAAATTACTCCATATTAGCTTTAGCCTATGCTTGGTTAGAGGGAAGGGAGGGGGAGGGATGGAAGAGAGGACAGATGGAGCAAGCTTCCATTGTTTGGTAGAGCGGTGAGGAAGAGGGTAAGGATGGGACAAGGGATGATCCAAAAAAACGAAAAAAAAAAAAAAAAAAAAAAAAAAAAAAAAAAGGGAGGAATTGATAATCTTATCACCCATACTAAGTTAATCAATTTAAATAATTAAGTGTATAATGGAAAAATAATAATACCACCTCTTTCCTTCCCTTCCTCTCAACCAAACAAAAGGAGGAATTGATAAGCTCTCATTTTTAGGAATGTAGGAATGTATTTTTGATCCTTCAACCAATTCATTCCCTCCATTTTTCCATCCCTCGTACCAAAAGAATCATTAGGGAATGGAATGATGCAATTGAAAAGCGTTGGTTAACATTTCAAACATCCTTATGACGGGTTAAATGCAAACTATGTAAGAATCAACTTTTAGTTCAATCACTTACTTCAGAGTCTTAAACTACATCTTTATGACGGGTTAAACGCAAACAATGTAAGAATCAACTTTTAGATCAATCACTTACTTTAGAGTCTTAAACTACATAGTCATATTCAACTGAATATAGGAATAATGTTTTTAAGGCATCTTCCACAAAACAATTTGCACGACGGCATATATATACAAATCAATCTCATTTTTCCCATGTAACTTTTTATTCAATAAGATGCCTATGAAAAGAGAAATTATGAGAATCTACAATTTAGTTTTTAGTAATTGTGCAAACATATGCTACAGCAACTAGTAAGTGTAAACCTCAAGTATGGGTCCACGATCAGCTCCAAGTAAGTGAATCTCATCCAAAATCATAAGCCCAACCTACAGATAAGATTTCAAACAGTTGAATGAGGCCAGCAGATTTTGTAGATAGTGACCATAGATTACTATGCTGTATTAAGAAAATCACTATCAGTCAAAGCAATGTAACAGTTCCCACTTAATTTAACAATAGAAATATGACGAAAGAAGCACCTTTGTGACATAGCTTCGACTGTGCCAGTTACGACTGATACCATCCCACTTCTCAGGAGTAGAAATTATGATGTCGGCTGACAACAAAGCCTTCATATCTGGAGTATAATCCCCAGTCATTTCAACCTGATTGAAACATCAAATTAGTATGGCCATCTTATGTTTGAAATATTTATGCCTAATACGGTAATAATTGCTAGCACCATCTTTTTTCCAAGTTGAGAAACAAGACCCTTCCTCCAATCAATCATTCTTTCTCGAACAATAGCCTTCAGAGGTGCTATGTAAATGACCTGCATTAAGATAAAGATTTCAACAAAACAACTAAGATATAAATCAGTGAATCACCTTAAACTCTCACGTGACTGAGATGCAATAATAAATTGAACATAAAAGTAAATTTTGGAGCTGGACATTGAAAATTTCCAAAATAATCAGCTTCCAACATAAGACTATTAAATCTGTGGTTACTGATTTTGCATATACTAGAGATGCCTGACCAAAAACCATCAGCAATTGCCAACAGTACAACTGAAACCTATATGATGTAAGGCAGCAGAATTCATTTTAGGGTCTTGCACAATATATATATATGGGTGTGCATATATATATTGGCCCAAAGTCGATATGAGCCACACAATGATTATGTTGATATGAGCCACACAATGATTATGGAATTCTATCCCAGCCCTTGGATGCAAGTGTATGACAAACTAGTGACTTTACCGGCAGACTAGCTCAAACCGTCAGTGGATATTGAAGAACTTTAGAGTTGCAGGGTGAACATTATGTTTTCCAACTACAATATTAAATCCTGCCTTCACATTTGCAAAATGAATATTCTACTTACAACCAGAACCCAGTAAAAGGGGGCCACAAGTTCCCTAATATGGGGTTCAGATTTCTCACACATTCATGTTTTTGCAAATTTAATAAACCATAGGAAAAGGAGAAAGAATGAAAGCCACAGATAAAATTAAGATTCGTACCTTCATATCAGGCTGGGTGTTGAATAAATGAAGCATAGCAAGCTCAGCAGATATAGTTTTCCCACTTCCAGTAGGAGCTCCTAACAAAACATTGTTGCCTGTGTGATACAGGACATGAAAAGCCTGCCAAGATCCGATGAGTCACAACCTCTGACTTTGGTCAATACAACTTAAAGACCATGGGGCATAAATCTAAAAACTCAGGCTAAGGTTTCGCAATGCAAACCTGTGTTTGAATAGGATTGAAGTGTGAAAAGTTGTACAAGGCTTCATAAGTTCTGTTGCCAAGTGCAGTCACAGGGAGAGGTTTCAAATCTAGAAGTTCAGTGTGGGATGTACGAGCCTGAATGAAGCAATGTCTTTATGTGAGACAGAACTTTGACAAGAGCTTATTGCCATCTAAAAACCAAACTATTAAATATATCCTATAAGCTTTTACAAATTATATAAGAAGGAACCTCTGGAAGTGCTAGATTCTGGAAAGAAATAGTGTAGAAAGCCTCTGCATGCAACCAAGAATCAGAAACAGCACGAATGTAGTATTGAGGAGGATGTGGTTCAAAAATTGGAACTGTAAAGGAAAGCTTCTGTGGTTCTCCTTTTGCCATCCGCTTTGTCAATGTGAAAAGGTCTGAATGGTAGATATGATCATTCTCAGAATCCTACACAAATTGGTTGATCAGAGGTGAGTACCAATTATGAAAAAACAACAACAAATAACATTTACTATAAAGTAATGACCAATAAAACAATGCCAACTTCGCAAGCCAACTAGAAGGGGACACACTCAATAAACTGTTTTTAAATGGAGAGGGATTTTGAATAAAGAAATTACTATAAAAACCAAAAAAAAAAAGACAAATAAAGGTTGACAGTCAAGAATGATCAAACTAACCAAAATCAACAAATAAAGCAATCTAAATTAATTTGGTAATGACCAAGAAAGATAAGTTGAAAACTTCATTAATACAACACTACGTTCCTTGGGGCAAGAAAATTCTAGGAGATCTAACAGAGAAAGAACCAAAAAAAAAAAAAAAAAAAAAAACACTTCATAAAGAGTGAGGAGATAGTCTTAGACTCTTAGGTGAATTTAGAAAAAGGATTACATATATAAAGCCCTAAGACTGGAATTAGTTTAGTTTATTCATATTCTTCGCCTAATTTTATTTTGAGACTCATGCTATATTATTGTTGAAGGATCATAGGAGGGTTAAGGGGGATGTGGAGGAAACATCCCATAAAGATCTTTGCCTTTGAGAAAGATTTTTACAAACTTGCCCATAAAATATAATTTCTACCATTCAGCTTCACAGAAGTAATAGGAGAGTTAAAGGGGGATGTGGAGGAAAACAAATCAGAATTGGACAACACTGATGTTAAAAGACTGAATCTGTTAAGGAACTCAAAGAAGAGGATACAAGTGACCTAGTTACCACTAACAAAAGCGAGCCGAATAATAATGAACTGGACCAACTAAAATAGAGCTCAACTGACTGAAATATTAAACTGAACCAACTAAAATGGAGATGAACCAACTTAACTGGCCTGAACCGAGTCTGAACCAAAAAGAAAAATGAATGAAACGGCGTGAATTGGGTTGAACAAGATTTAAATGGGTCTGAACCAGTTCAAATGGACTTGAACAGGTCTGACAACCTGGTTGGTCCAGTCGGAAGTCGGATTGGTTGAAGTCAAACCAGTTTTGCGCCAATTGGTTCGGCTGCATTTCTAACCAGCCTAAACGCTTAACCATAATGTCAAAATACTCCAGATTAGGACAGCAAATCCACATCACCAAACAGTCCCGTTCTGCTTCCTCAGATAGACATTGACCTTCAAAAACGATGCCACTGGCTAGATCTTGACGACGACCACCACAACAACCACTAAGATGCCAACTGGTTTGACCTCAATGTGGTGGCCTGGTTCAATCTCAACAAAGAAAACCACGACCATGAGACAACCACAACAGCGACAAATGCCAGTGTTGAAATTCGACGACGATCACAAGTGTTCAATCTTACGACGACATCAATTCCATGATGGATCAATGGTCATGAGGACCTCTCTTATGACAATTAATGATAATTACTGCTCAAACCCACTCAGATACCATGAAGATAGGGTTAGAAATTAGACTTAGGGTTAGATAAGGAGAGAGATGAGTTTTGGGGAATTTGTGTGTGAGAGTAGTAACCCTCTCTCACTCGTGTGTGTGTGTGTGTGTAAACATATATATATATATATATATATATATATATCAACTGACAAAAACAATGAAAAGGTCAGTATACACTAGTAAGATAAATTAATTACAATATATACTTGTCTTGTAGAGTTATGACGAGAGTGTGCCAGGACCATTGCCAGGACAACCATGTGTGTCCACGAGGTAAGTTCCCTGAGGTTAATCCGATAAAATTGCCTAACGAAATGAGCCATTATGTGACAATGAACATGATAAATTGTGATGCTTATCATGTTCTGTTGCTTATTGCACATGATTTGGCCAAGAAGAAGAGGATGCAGTAACTAGTAGAAAGAAAATCAGGGAAATGCACCTCCCATTCTCACTCTCATTGAGGAGGATTAGATATTCTTGAGAGTAAATTGGCCTGTTACCAGAGTGTTATAGCTTTCTTGGGGCCATATTGGTCCATCGTGAGGCAACTGATGTATGAGATGTAATTATCAATGCAATAATATCAATTTGAGGGTGTCAATGTAATTATTGATCTTATGATGTATTATGGATGGAGCCACTCTGGTGGTCATAGAAAAGATCACATGGAATCCTGGATTCTCCGAGTTTGGGAGTTTGAGACATTCAATCCTAACCTCCAAGTCAAGGTCACACCTCGATCTGGCGGGAGCTGGCAAGGACGTGACACATTCACTCCCCTTCCTACCTTCCTAGGTCTAGTAGGGAGTAGAACATATTACAGCCTAAGGTGACAGTCGTCCCTTCAGTCCAAAATCCATGCAAGACAGATTTTCAAGATTTCAAGCTCTATTGTCCTCATGCACTACCATTATATGCAAGATCACTGATCATAAATTGACTGCAATACCATTGTCCTAATGCACTACCATCTACTGAAAAATAACAGAACAACAATGATGAAATGCCATAATCATCATCAAACAAAGAATGACAGCATAAGAAGCAAAAAACAGAAAATAAAAAAAAATAATAATAATAGAGGCATAAGGACATAAGGCTGTAGCCAATCCGCAGTAAGTGAAAAACACCTCAAATTTGTACTTCAAAAGGAATCCAAAACTTATTAGAATAGAGAAAAACAGATATGCATCTGTGTTTTACTTGAAATCATTCAATGAAATCCGTTAAGGCACAATCATCAAAAATAAGCAACTTCATGACAGCGAAATGAAATACTTATATAGGAAAATTATCATCACCACAGCTGGTCCAGTCCAGTCAATTTAAGGAGATACGAAGGACGGACTAGGTACAGAAATAATATTCAATAATAGTCATAATACTCTTAGAAAGCCCAAATATTCATGATACTTTGTAGGGAATGGAACAACTTTAAAATAGCATAATATTTGAGAGTATGCATGTGTGCGCGCGCCACAGCTATATAAGATCATGCGCAAGCAAATGTAAGTCCATATGTTGTTCAAAATCTTAGAAAGTTCATGATGGAGTTATTCAAGGAATGATATCATCTACTGAAAAATATACTGAAGCGGACTAAGAAGACCACTTTACAAATTTAACAACAAAGTGATTATCAAGTTAGCACCTCAACCAGAATCCACCAACGTTGTGCAGCACCGTGAAAACGATCCTTCCACAGAAAATCTGGTGTTATGAGCAAATCCACCTAAAAAATGCAGCAACAATATCAATTTTTCATCTGTTTTTAATATTTTTTATCACTACACTAAGCATTTGGAGTTACCTTCAAAACGGTTCTGGTTATTGGACTAACAGTAGCAGACAACTGGATCGACGGGAAAAATCCTAAATATTGCTTAACCACCTTCGATTTCAAAAAGAAGCCAAATCAATTATTATACGACATAATATCATAGAAAATTTCACCATTTAACTAAAAGCAAAATACCCTTCCTCCAGGTGCATAACGAATCAAAGCTCCAATGTCTTTTTCCTGCATCTCTTGTAGGCGATCTAAGTCAGCCCCTCGCTCTTCAAGCTTCCTCAGTATCTGGATGAAAAGGAAATTTAATAAATTCAGCAAGTATAATAACATGAGCATTCTAAATAAATCAAAGAAAAATAAGAATCAAGACGAACTTCTGATGAAATATCCTTGTCAAATTGTCTGAGGGGATGTTGATGAGGCCAAATTTGACGATCCACAGCCTTGCAGTATTCCAACATGAACAAAGACATCTCACACCACCCTCTGCGCAAACAAATTTCAAATAGAGCCCGCATGATACGTCCCAAGCTTGCACTTATATATGCAGCATCAGAAACTAACGAAAAGGCATCAATCGAGCCACGAGATATATACAACTGCATGTTACATAACCAACGCAGTTGTCAAATTCAAATATAAGCATTTATTTTACTTTGAAGGCAAATATTATATGTGGATGGCAAGACGTGGCAAGGACCTGAATGAGAATTGAAACCTTTCCATGCTTATTCGAGGGACCACCCTTAACTTCTAAAGGGCAAGCTGTGCGGACCAATGTTTCAAGCTCATTTTGTTCCTCCTCTCGAACAACAATATTTTCAAATTCAGAAGAGTGGGCTACCATGTCAATTACCTACAAAACCAACAAGAAAGCAAGCAAAAATTAAAAATTAAAAAATAAATAAATAAAAGGAAGGTATCACACTTGGTGCATATCTCGCAGATATCATCCTTCACTAGTATGAGATCTCCATGATTAAGTACACAAAAGCAGTAAAAAAATTTGAGCCATAGTGGAATTTGATTGACACATGCAATAGGGATAATTGGAAATCATCACCCATAATAGCCAGCTATACTTTCAAAAACAAATTGACATCACAATATTTCATAACCAATTACCTCACTGTCATTCATGTGGCGTCTCAACATTTCATTGTAAGTTTCAACACTAGAATAATGAATATAGAAGTGGCTAGCAATGCGACCAAGCTCAGTACAGTAAAAATTGCCACTTTTCTCGTCAAATCGCATCATTTTTGCCTTGTCTAGTGAACGAGCAGCATCTGACACAAGAGCTCTTTGCTTTAAACTCAAAGAAGGATCTGCAACAACCTGTCAAACAACATGGGGAGAAATCTGATGTCGAAGCACCCTAGTAAAAATATACTTGAACAAAATATGAAAAATAGCAAGTTCCCAAGATTAAGGTCAACCCAATATGGAATTTTGAATATCACAAATTTAACAAAAATATGAAAAGAATAAAACCTTTAGGCCCAGATGGTATTCATATTGAGACATGGAAGTATTTAGGTATCGACAATATGATCACTAACGAAATAATTCAATAAGACAACGATAAATAACAAAATGCCAGACGTAGATTTATTTTAGTATTCATAAACAAAAATAAAGTAGATATTCAAATTTGTACAATTATGATGGTATCAAATTAATAAGTCATAGTCAAAAACATTAGGAGAGAGTTATTGAACGAGTAAGACGTGAAACTACAGTGGCAGACAATCATTTCAGAATTATGCCAGGAAAGTAAAAAATGGAAGCTATTTACAAAGTAAGGAGACTAATGGAAAATTATAGAGAGAAGAAGAAAAATCTTTATATGAATTTGGAAGAAACCTACAATAGGTCCCTACTCCCTGGAGATATAATATGGTGGTTTTAAAAAGAAATGAGTTACATCTAACTATAATGTCGTGCGAAAGGATATGTAAGATGCAACTATGACCATATATGTATGATGCAACAATGACCATAGTAAGAACATCTACAAGTTAAACAACTGACTTACCAATTTATACAATTTAAATCAAGAATCGGCCAGAAGCGCATTTCTTTTTACCTTTGTTATATATCATTAACAAAAATTTTCCGAAGGAGGTTCCACAGTGTATGCTATTTGACAATACTGTTTTAAATGATGAACCTAGAACAAAGATGATGTAGAACAACCAACTGATGTAGACCAAAAGTGCTCTAACAACAATTGATGTTGAACCAAAAATGCGCCAACACCAATTGATGTAGAACCAAAAATGCTCCAACACCAATTGATGTAGAACCAAAACTGCTCTAATACCAAATGCTGTAGAATAGGAAGAAATTTGGGGATGAGATTAGGCTAAAAGAAAGGTCAGGTTCAACTTGACAAAACTCATCATTTCTATTACATGCGATATTTGAACCTGGACCTTTCCATCGAATAAGATAGCATTGAATATATCCACTATGAGAAGCATCACTCTGATGGTCAAGAATACCATAGATGTGTCCATATATTGTGGCTAAACTAGTATAAGAACTAGTGTTGATGCTGACGAAGATAAAGCTCCACCTATGAGAGCACATGCTAACAATATAGGAGGTTCATAGGTGTCTCAATAAGGAAACAAATACTCCACATGGAAAACTGGACTAATAGTCATATTGATCGCAAGCCAAATAAATGTGCTTTAGGTCATAACTTTTAAATGATGTGGAGAGGTCTAAAACTACAAATGGAAGATGTAGCCAAGATTGTGGGTCAAGACATACCTAAAAGCGAACATTTTCATTGACTAGACCCGATTATGGACAAAGAAATTAGAAACTATTTATATCATAGGATTAAAGCAAAATGAGTAACACAGACGAGTGCTTATGTCATATTGTGTGATTGGCGTATAGCTATAAAATTGAAAGTGAAGTCTATAGAATAGCTACTACACAAGTAATATTTTGTGAGACAGTGTTTCGGGGGCTCAAAATCAATATACGTATAAAAGGAGCATAACAGAAATGCAAATGTTTAGATAGACATGTGGTAATACAAAAAATGATAAATTGGAAATAAATGTAATTTTGATATAGTTTATTATATACAAAGTACTATATAAGTTTTTTGAAGATTAAGAATATTATTGAGGGGAATTTTTTTCTCTAAATATTAACAGACGCAAAAACTTATCCATGTCACATTGTGGAATTCTTCACAGATAAGTTGATATGATAAAACCCAACAATTTGCATAATGAAAAGACTCATCGACAGTAGTTTGTTCCTTAACCATAAAAATAGGGAAGTTGGTTCAGAATATCTACCACATAGTTAAATCCAACATACTAAGTGCTGATCTGAGACATCTAGAAAGTATAGTACATCATTTTTTTTTTAATTGTATGTGAAAGTATAATATATCAAAACAGCTTCTTTTTTAAGAATCTTCTAATACATAAAACGTTACTAATGGTAGATAGTAGCGCAGTTTGCACTTCATTGCAGATAAATTGATTTGACAAAAGTCCGATAACTTGTATCATGCAAATTTTTTAACTTTGGAGTGTTGATTTTTGAATTTCGATAAGATGTTCGAAATCCATAAAGGACACTTCAGAACCAAAAAAAGTAACGGAAAAAGTCATTTGCAGTGGAAGTGAATGGAGGAATTCTTACTTAATCATCAAAAAAGTCTAATAATCACATAACTGTTGCACCACAATATATAATTCTGAAGAATTATAAATTACCTCATCCCATCCAATACCATATGCCAAAGGATTCATTTTCATCCTTATAAAAAGATAGGTATACCCAAGCCATGCGCAAGCTTCCTTGACATTTGTCACAGTACCCAATGCCACCTCTGCATTTAAATTATCTTTCAAGGAGCTAATGAACTGCAACAAAGGCGAATGGAAAAGTAATTTGAGTAAAGAAACCAAGAGTAAACTAATAAGTATACAATTTTTCAGGTATCCAAAGAAGAAGAATATCAATTTATAGAAAGAAAAAAAAAAAAACCATAGTTTCTCATTTGTGATAGGTATAACATATCATTTTCAAATTTTCCAAAATCATGTATCATGAACTTTTTTTTTTTTTTCCTCTTCAAAAGTAGGAAGAAAAAATAGGCATACTCTAACGAAATACATATATTTTGCAACAAGGAACCGTTATAGGATGTCTAACCAACAACCACCAAGCCTTTTTCCCAACTATATCAAACATCACAAAACATTAGAGAACACATGGCATACATTTGCACACATCCCTTGCACCTTGACAAATTGAAAAAGCTCACTATTATGGATATTAATTTTCAACCCTCACACTTCCAGAAAACATGAGAAAACACATCTCAAACTTCTCAATTTACTTCTTCCCTCTGCTACCCAGTTTATAAAGCATATAAGAAATAAACAAGCAACACAATACCAAGCAATCAAGAAAGAGTGTGAATCTAAATTCACACTTAAAGATTTCAAAATCAATTAACCTACAACTAATTACCTGACTTTCTATGGGGAGTTGACTCGTCAATAGTCGTAGATAGTAGGCTAGTTTATCATGGGATGTGATTATAATGCCTTCGCCACTTTTGTCAAACTGAGGTCTTCCAGCACGTCCAAAGATCTATACAAGTATCAGGACAATTGCAGAAAGTATCAGAATTTAAAATAATTAATTAATTAATTATATTAAATTTAAATTAAAAAAACTATATTGAATTATAAAAAAACACAGATCAGATGGAAGTCCTCATCTTGCCTGCATAACATCAAGCATGCCTAAATCTCGCCACCCACCAGCCTTTGGATCATATAATTGAGTACCCTGGAGTGACACCATGCAGAAGATCAAACTTCCAGAGAAAGGCATTAACAAAAATATTGAAATCCATTTAAAGATGGTACATGTCTACTATAAACCAAGCATTAGTAGAAAGATGGAGCATAAAGAAAATTAGAAGATCCTAATTTTTCAATTGTAGCATATCTTATTTCTTGGTTTTCAAAAAAACGACGACAATAAACTACACCAACATGAGATAACTATATACAGGCCATCTGCTTCAAGAAAGCCCGATGACAACCCAGAAGTTTCTGTAATAGAACGTCTTGAACAGCAGGTCTAGGAGGGTGGTCCACAGATGAGCAAGAAACCAACTAAAGAACATCTTCTTTAGTAAAAGAGGGCGGTGACAGGTGACATAATTATTCTAAAGTTCACCCTAGTAGAGTGTATTACCGGGCTGCTACTTGATAAAGAATCAGAACCTTATAAGGCTCACTGTTACTTGATTCGCTATGACTAGCAGTCATGTTTAAGAACAAGAACCCTTTGACAATGTTCTTCCAGTGTAAAGCAAAGAATTTTGAAAGTAAAGCAAAAACAAAACAAAAAAATGTGTATGACTTGGCAGATGGCACCGCAGATCACGCCTTCAGCGAAGCAATTCTGTAATCACCAAGGAAATATGGGCATCCACAGGATCATATGCTTTCAACCTTACAACCCTTCTTTCTAACGTTCTCCCATAACTAAAGTGAAAACACAGTTAATTTGTCTTCTTCAGTATTGTTGACAAGGTTAACAAGAAAAGATCCAATCCGGCAGCATTAAGGGTAACAAAAATACTGCACTAGTTTAGTTGATAAGAAGGAGAACAGAATAATACATCGAAAAACTTGGATAAGTGTCTCTAAAGAGAGTTCCATGATTACGTTGGGTTCAGAACAATCAACTGCACAAGCTTGGATTTGGCTAGAGCTTGGGTTGAACCGCAGGGCAAGGCAACCCAAATAGAAGAATACTTTACACATTTTCAAGATAATTTCTTCAAGAGTATAGCCACTCTATGAAATTTATATATAGAGAGAGAGAGATAGAGAGAGAAGCCGAAGAAGAAGGGAACGAAGATCACAAAGTACTAAGCCCGAGCGTTTCTAACAGGCGGTCTTTTCTTATACAATTTAAATATGAAAGTATGTACAATTTTAAATTCAAAATACTAATCTAATAATTAATTTCTAGGACATAGATTATTAAATATCTACATCCAACCAGTTTAGAGATATTTTATTCTTAATCTAACTATGAGAGGGTTGACTTACCATTTGTAAATAAACCAACTGCTAACATAACATGTTCATTGACAATATGTTGTATTATTAAGATCCACAATTCCACATGCAATTAAGGGCAGATTACAGGTTCGACAGCGTTCACTAACAAGAAACGTTTCTTGTTTTTTCTTGTCAACCCCTAAAAAAGCAAAACGAAAACAAAAATGGTGTTTAATAATATGTTTTTGTTTTTCTGTAATAGAAAACGTTTTCAATTTTGGTATGGTTGCTGACTGCTTGGGGTAAGATTGTTGTTGACAAACATGCTATGGTTGCTGACTGCTATCGTCTTGATAGCGGTAGGTTGTCTTGGGATGTGCAGTTCCAGCGATCCTTCCAAGATTGGGAGTTGGATGACGTCACTGGTTTGTTGGCTCTCTTGTATAGATAGGAGATGGAGGGCACTGGTGCAGATTCCTTGACTTGGGTGCCTTCTGCGTAGGGGATGTTTCAGGTCCCGTCCTTTTTCTGTCTCTCTGGGTTTTACGGTACCACCTTCCCATGGAAGACGGTGTGGCTGTCAAAGGCACCCCTTAGGGTGGCCTTTTTTGTGTGGACCGCAGCTTGGGGTAAGATTCTAACTTTGGACAATTTGAGAAAGAGAAGACATATCATTGTCGATCGGTGCCGTCTTTGTATGATTGATGGAGAGTCCGTGGATCACCTTCTGCTGCATTATCCTGTGGCCCACGAATGTTAGAGTCTCATTTTTGGTCTGTTTGGTGTCCATTGGGTCATGCCCTGTTTTACTTATCAAAAAATAAAATAATTGTAAAGAAAAGAGGAAAAAAAAAAAAAAAAGGTGTTTCTTATGTTTTCGGCACTATAGCACGGAAACGTTTTCACTATTGTTACTACACTGGCACTATTCATTTCAAATAAAATTCATATTATTTATGTTATATACTAATGCTATATATTAAATACTAATAAAAAATTATTTTTAATATAGAATATATTAAATAGTTTCAATTATTTTATATTTGATAAATATATATCTTAATATATAATATATTAAATAATAAGTGTAAATTATTTTTTGAGACAAAAATATTTATGATTTATTATATATTTTTATTTATTTCATATAATGTTATTAAATTTTTTATGCAATAAATATTTAATATTATTATATACCATATCTATAATATATTATATGTAAATATTAAATTATAATTAATTTATAATATTATAATACTATATATTCTATTACATATAAGATATATTATTTAATATTTTTTATTCATAATAAAATACTATATGTTAAATATATTATATATCACATAATAAATATACACGTGATGCATATACATGTATTTATATGCATAATTGGTGGGAGCATTTTGACTTCGTATATCTTATTTTGTATTTATGTATGGGGTATTATTAGGATTTGTGATTTTAAATTGGATATTGTATTTTATTATCATGTATTGGGTATTGTAAATATTTACATCCATATTTTAAGGTTTTCTGATACTAATAAAAAAATTAAAAATAATTGAAAGAATACTGTGTACATCTTGTAACAAATATGCATTACTAAACACTGTTATTGTTTTCTACTATCAAAATTGAGGCAACAGCAAGTGTTAATAAATGTTATTTTTGCTTTCTTCTTTCACTCGAAAAAGCAAAATCATGCTTCTGCTTTCTTGAGACTGCAAAAACTGAAAACGAAAACGTTACTAAACGCAACCTAATTACTCGAGATTTAAAGTTATGCAAAAAGAAAAACTCTGGAGTTAGAACTATTAGGTCCATTGTGCATTTACCAAATTAACCTCGCTTTTATTATATATATCTACTACCTTACCACTGATGTAAGCAAGGCAAGCTAAAATGAGATTTACCCCTCAAATTATCTCCCTCCCACTTTTTCTCTCTCCACGCCAACTCCAGCACCAGACCACCCCCCTCCACAGTGAAATGACATGGCCACTCCACTCCTCAATCCTGACATCAGCTCTTATCTCAGCAACACCAACCACCTCATCCACTCCTTTTCAGCCACTGCCACACCAAATTCCTTCCACTTTCACAGTTCCTCCAGGATCTCTTTCTCCCTCTCCTCTGCCCCATGAGTTCATTTGGGCATAAATTATTGCGTAACTTCCACAACAACGACAATACCTGCTAATGCTGCATTGTTTTCAAAAAGTTTCAAACCAACCAAAAGAAAGAGTTCTTGTCGAAAGGCAATAGCAGAAGCAATAACTGGTTGGAGCCTGAACTATGTTTGCCAAATTGGATCCACAATTTGATTTCTTGGACCTCTGAAAGTCGTTTTTGCTTAGGAGCTCAAGTTTTTGACAGTCTTTGGCATGCATTGGGTGTCTCCTGGATCCACAATAGATATGATCAAGGCTTGGAGAGGATGTATAGTGGAAAGCCGAGCTCAAGATGCTTCGAGGGCCACTCCCCTTTGTTTATTGGTGTGGGGCTTGTGGTGAGAGAGAAATAGGAAGCCCTTCAATGGGAAGGAAACTCCTATTTGATCTCTCAAATACGTCAGTTTGAGCTCTTTATTCTTTTGGGTAAAAAGGCAAAATTGTAAATATGTGGGAGATTTGTGGATTTTGTCCAGAGTCTAAGATTATAGATGGCCACCTTAGGCTTTTGTGTTCTCTTGGGAGAACTCCTCTCTTGAGTGCCTTTAATGAAATTTACTTACCAAAAACAACAACAACAAAAAATAAAAAAAATAATAAATAATAAATAAATAAATAAATAAAGATACACACACAGAAAGATGTGTATAGAACCCTCGACTAAATTAAACATAAGGGTACCTCAAAAAACAAAAGCAGCAGCATACCAGCAAAATAAATAAGACCCCAACTGAAACAACATGATTATACAAGGTCCAAAATGAGCCCCAAATGAAATTCCAGTTCATTTTGTCTTGTAAGAAAAGCGGTGCACCACTAACTACAATAAAATATATCCAAGTCCAATCAGTAAAATGCGTGAATTTCCAGACATTGCACAAACCTTAATCACAACAGTGTGAGCAGGTAGATTTACGCCCCATGCCAAGGTTGCTGTGCAAACAAGTACCTAAAACAGGAAAGAACATAGTTTTACTATAACAAACCAGTGAAACATAGAGCAATGGCTGAAAGGTGAAAGATTCAGCATGAAGGAACTTACTTTCAAAATTCCTTCAGAGAAAAGCCGCTCAGTCAGACCTCTGTCGGCACGTAACATCCCGGCATGATGAATACCAAACCCTTTTTCAAAAAGTTGAACAACCTGCTTGTTTCTGGACTTGAGAACTTCCCGCTGAAATAATAAATTAGGTGATCAAACAACAAATTACACATGGATATGAATGTACAGAAGTTGAAGGACACAACTTTCCTACCTTCATCAAGTCAAACATAGGGTGTGTTTCATTCTTAAATATCTCCAAATCTTCCTTATTCTGGGAAATTTCAACCTGTGCAACATTTACATGATAAGTCTGGTTGAGCAAAAATTATGCACTACATATTAAATGAAGTTATTCAAACATAAATATACAAATACAAATACTTGTTAGCAGAGATATGTTAGCCTAGAATCATTGGATATGACTTAGCACATTAGCCGAGATACAATAGCCTAGACTCATGGGATTTGACTTTATTTACGCATATATTTAAGCATAGAATCTCCAGTAATTATGTTTGGTTTCCTTTTGTGTAATATTTAACATGTGGTCTTTTAATATATCAACACCAGTGAATGTGTGATTATTCTCTCTTCTTTTATAAGATTGTATAGAAAGATTTCAAAAGGAGAACGCAGCCCACAAGATAAGGAGTACCAAATAGGGCCCTCAGCTTCTCAATAAGCCCAAAAAAACAACTATCTCCCCCATGGATTTACAATTTCTCCCCGTAACCCAACAAAAAAGAGAACTAAGAATAGAGAACTTTAACGCCCCTATAGAAGACTCCTCCCCATCGAAAGATCTCCTATTATGTTTCCTCCACAACACCACAAAACACACAAGGGCACCACCCTCCAAAGGTCACGGGCATGGGGACCCACTATACACCCCCTCCAAGCCTCAATCATTCCTAACGCAGACTGGAGCATAACCCACTGCGCTCCGAACAAAGCCAAAAGCAAGCCCCAACTGTCCATAGCCACAGGAAAACGCAGCAAGAGATGATCGACTGACTATGCATCTCTCTTACACATGCAACACCATTCAAGCCTTTACATACACCTTGTCACAACCTCCAACAGCCATGTGGCTTATGCAAGGGACACTCAAGTCCTTTTCGCGACCAACACAAGGCCACCCAGGCTTTGTGGTCTATGCAAAGGCCATTGCAGATTGTACGATAGCCACCCTAGGATGTTTGTGAAACCCTATGGGGTCCTGTGAGGAGTTGTTTTGTAATCGAAAGCAAGTATTTCTAAATTTTACTCTTCTAGGGTTGGGTAAGCTGGTATCGTTGGTCTCCAACACCTAGAAGGCTTGGGAAAATTATTGGAAGTCTATAGAGATGTTTGGAATATTGAGAAGGAAGTTATCCGGCTATATGCAAGCAGACAACACTCCTAAAAAAGTTTGTATTTGGACTTTTCAGGAATGGTCTTAGAATATATTGCTGATTGTTTAAGGTCAGAGGAGACACTTTAATTAGTCAACATAATTTGTGGTGTTTTTGGAGTTATTTATTGTCGTGTGATAGAATATGGCAACTTTAATTATCATGGCTCAAGTTATGTGGGCGGTGGTGCCATTTTTCCCACCAACTCATCAGAGAATCCAAAGCTGGATTGTTCCAACTATTTGATTTGGGCACAGTCTATCAGGATGTTTACCGGTGGCAAAGGCAAGATTGGCTATATTACTAAATCTAGGAAAGAGTTAGATAAGACATATCCATAGTGGTATGCAGATAACGCTATAATTATGTTTTGGTTAGTCAATTCAATGCAACCAAACATAACCGTTGGGTATATGTTCATAAGACCACTAAGCAAATTTGGGATTATGTACAACGCACTTATTCTCATAGGTCGAAAAACGCAAGAATTTTTCAATTGGGGCAAGATGTGACCAGGATTACTTAGGGTGACTCGTCAAGCTTTGTGCTATTTGGGAGGACATGTCATAGGACGATTCCTTTCACTCTGGAAATATCCAGAGGATGCAATTTCTATGCGGGGATTGAGGAGAATAATCGAGTGTTTCAGTTTCTTGGCGATTAAACGACTTTGAGAATGGTCATGTTTATATGTTGGGCTTGTATTCATTCCCTACTTTGGAGGATGCATACTCCTATGTGTTATCGAATGAGAGCCGTCGGACTCATCCATTTACCACTCATCACTCTACTATGGCAGTTCGTGTTCCTAACCCTTCAGCGATTACACCATCCCAGTTAGTTCAGAGTTCTAACATCAGCCTTCCTCTTAGACGATAGTGTGGGAGTGTGACCATTGCAAGAACCTTGGTCACATCAAATCTCACTACTATATACTACATGGACACCCAACGCAACAAAAATATCAAGCCTAGATCCTCTGTGCATTTTGTGACACAATCGGACTCATTGTTTACTCCTGACAACTCTGCCTATTCAAGAACCTTGGTCACATCAAATCTCGCTACTATATACTACATGGACACCCAACGCAACAAAAATATCAAGCCTAGATCCTCTGTGCATTTTGTTACACAATCGGACTCCTTGTTTACTCCTGACAACTCTGCCTATTCATCCTCTGCCACGATTACCTTGACTTAAGCTTATTTGGACAAGTTCAAAGAGTTCTTCAACCAAATGGAGGCATCATCCCAGTCAACCTCCACTTATGCCCACTTGGCTACTATTCCATCTGCATACAAAGTATCTACATCTTCGATACAATGGTATCATAAACTCTAGTACTTCAAGCAATATGACGAGTATGCCCTCCTTCGACTCTTATAGCTGGCCATATATGCCTCGCAAATGGCTCTCGATCTTCCATTACTAGGAAGGGTCATATATTGGTTACTCCTTTAATTTTGTTAGATACACTTCATATTCCAGAGCTTACTTCTAATATTATTTATGTTAGTGGTGTTACTAAACTATTAAATTGTAGTGTAACTGTCAAAATTGAAGAGAGAAATAGACAATGAATAACAGAAGGATATACGTGATTCAGCCACCACTAGAGATTACATCCAAGGCACATAAAGCCCAAAGGGCTACATATCTTTATTATACTCTCTTGATTTTGTATACAATGATCACTAGGTAAAATGGGAAAGACTTGTAGGCACAGAATAGAAAATTGCTCTACAAGTATCCTTACTTTACAAATATTTTATAATAAAAGAATTACACAGAAAGTCAAATACAAATATGGTAACAAGTCTCATAGTAATATTCGAGTAATTTAAGTAAGGTTCCCCTCTCTCCCCCCCCCCCCCCCGGGCGCCGGCGGAGGGGTACACAAGATTAACTCAAGTGTCCAACTTGAAACTAATTATGAAGTTGTCGAGAGTCTAAGACGAGTAAATTTGAGACGAGTTGCTCCAGAGATCCAAGAAGAGTTGATCCGAAGATTCAAGACGAGACGAGTTGATCCAAAGATCCAAGACAAGACGAGTTGATCCGAGACGAGTTGATCTAGAGATCCAAGACAAGTCGATCCGAGATGAGTACAGTATAGAGTATGGTATGATAAACCTGCTATGATACTATGTCAAAATTGAAGAAATGAATAAAAAATAAAGAATACAAGGATATAATGTGGTTCAGCACCCCCCGCGGGCGGGGTTTACATCCACGACACAAAAAGCCCAAAGGGCTACATCTCTTCTATTACATTCTCTCTTGATGTTGATTACAATAACACCTCTATTTATAGGTGAATTGGGAAAGACTTGTACTTAGAGAATAGAAATTTCTAGCTCTACAAGTATTTTATAATAAAGGAATTATACAGAAAGTCAAATACAAATATGGCAACAACTTGTTGCCCAAGTATAGCAACGTTAACATTTTGTCAAGGAGTGATTTAAGGGCTTAAATCACTCCTATAATTATTCTCCAATACTCCCCCTCAAGTTGGTACACGGAGGTTTAACTAAAGTGTCAACTTGAAACTAAAAATGAAGTTGTCAAGAGTCTGAGACGAGTAAATCTGAGATGAGTTGATCCGGAGATCCGAGACAAGTTGATCCGAGATGTATTGATCCGAAGATCCGATACAAGTTGATCTGGAGATCCGAGCGGAGTATAGAGTAGGGTATGATAAACCTGCTCTAATACCATGTCAAAATTGAAGAGAGAAATAGACAAAGAAGAACAGAAGGATATATTCTCCACTTCTTTCCATCTCAATGTGTTTTTCAAGATAGGCGTCAAAGCGGATGATTGGTAGTGAGCATGAAGTGGAGGACCAATACTTGTAAGATGCTCCTTTCTCACCACAAACACATTCAATTTCCATATCTAGTAATGGTTCATCTAATAAAGCCCAATTGATGCATTAGCACTTGCGTTTAGCACACATTTCTTTCATTTATTTAAAACATTTGTTTCTTTCTTCATTTAGTAATGTAGCAGTCTCATATTTTTTCTATGAGACGTGTCACCTAGCTAAACATGTTCGTTCCAATTATACAGCTAGTAGTAATAAAACTACTTCAACACCTTTTGACTTTGTCCACTCAAATGTGTGGGAGGCCTTCCCCAGTTACTTCTAGTCATGGATTTCGATATTTTGTGTTGTTTATTGATGATCATAGCCGTGTTACATGGATCTATCTCATGAAGACCAAGAATGAGGTGTACACTAATTTTAAAAATTTTGCGTCACAACTCACCTTAACCCATATAAATACTACTTAATTGTGTAGATGTATTTTAAGGAAACCGTAAGCACCGAAAGGAGAGTGTGCAAAACGGAGAATATTTATACAGATTGGGATGGGTCGTGACAAGTGGTATCAGAGCCAACCCCAGCCCGGAAATAGGAGGTGTGCACAAGCCCATGCGGTAAGGCCAGTAAGGACACTAGGTCCCAAGAGAGGGTGATTATGACATCCCACTCGCTTTTGGGGGTGGGGTGGGGGTTGGGGAGGAGAAGAATTTGTTGAGCCTTTATGTGTAAACAACTCTTAATTGTGTAGAGGTGTTTTGAGGAAAACCATGAGCAACGAGAGGAAAGTGTGCAAAGCAGATAATATCTACACGAGTTGGGACAGGTTCTAACAAGTGACTTTGGTTCAGACTCATAATAGCCATACCATTGAAAGAGTACACTTATGGGGAGGTACAATGGTTATGCACAGAATTTGGGATTGAGCATCAAATGTCTAATGTTCAAACCCCTCAACCGAATGGTCGTTCTAAGAGGAAGAATCGTTACGTCCTTGACTTAACCAGAGCATCAAATGTCTAATCTGCATTGGCATAAATGTTCCCCAGTCGTTTTGGG